GTATTTAAAAGACGAGTAGATGAGGCACTCAGGGACATGGTTTAGTGGACATGGTGGTGTTGGGTTGACGGTTGGACTCGATGATCTTAAGAGGTCTTTCCAACCTCAATGATTCTATGATTCTATGATTCTATGATTTTCTGAAGTTCACTGTATGGGGGTATAAAGTCAAAGCATCTCAAGTGTTCCTCAGGGCTGATTTTCTCATTAAAAACATTGTTTAGATGAAGCAGGCATACTAAGCTGAAAAATGCCTCTAACTTTCCTCTGGAAAATTTCTATCTGCATTAGTATGGGTTTTGCCATTCCACAACCATGGACGGTGCATAGGTGAACTGGCTATCAAAGCATGGTCTAAGAGGGTTTGACAAACCCCTGGCTTCCATGAACAGCTCTCGGGATTGACGTGAGAAGTGAAGCAAGAGAAGCAGGGCAGAAGTGAAACCTGGTCAAATCTGAGCGCCTAGTTAGAAGGAGACATACTGCAGCCCCATAGCACTGGAAAGCTAAGAAGTGCTGTTCTGTGATAAATACAGATGCAGCAGGATAAAACTGTGCCCTGTGTAAGACAGGACATCAGGCCACAATAATGGACCACTCCACATCGCAATCCATTGTGCCATCTACACATGCCCTACAGCTCCTCTTGGAAAACAAGCCCTCCATGCCTCTATTGCATTCTTTTTCCTTATACTTGTTTCAGACTAAGTTAATCATTCCAAGACGCAATATCTTGAATAAAGTTACACCAGTGCCTTACACTCCTTATCTCTTCCAGGCACACCCTAGGAATTTATCTACCTTCTCTGCTAATGAAAGTTACTACAGATAATTTGCATGTGACCTTCAAGAGCATATGAGTTTGTAATTGCCAGATATTCTTAAAAACCTTGCTCCTCTGAAGTGCTTAAAATGGTTCAGCCTTACTTGAAATCACGTAATCAACAAAACCAGAAATTCCCATATTCTTACAGTTTGCAAAGCAATAACAATTTCAGAATAATTCTTGCTACCTAAGATCTATCTTCTGTGATAAGTCTCAGAACTGATAGTTTCAAGTGTCAAAATAAGAAAAGTATCATTTTTTCCATTTGTGACAGCGTCATAATATATGGTGAAGTCAAAGTTAACTCCACTGTTAGTAAAACCTTTTGCTAAATGCAATAGGCATATATGTATAGACTTGCTCTGATATATAATGAGGACTTAATATAAATTACTGATAAGTAATTTTGCTTTTGAAGCCAAAAACTGTTGAACTCTCAAAGTTACTATAAGTCTGCCAAAGCTGTCTACAAAGCAGATGGAACGCATTAAAAAGTTCTCACTTTATTTAAAATTACTGCAATTTTCCAAATAAAAGATTGTATTTTCTCCTTTGGAAACAAAATATATTTCACATGATTTCTCAGGTTCTGTCTCCAGAGGTCATTTAAAGATTTTCTTGCTATTTCTCACTATAATTTTCACAGTTTAAAAGTCTTTTATCTTTATAAAGATCAGAAGCAGCTAAAAAATAAAAATGCCGTACCTCTTGAGCACACCAGCCACACTCTGGACCCAAAGCAAGACACTTTGTGCATGTTACTGCATTTGAAGTAGCACATCTGTTTTCCGCTGCAATGAAATATAAAACCAAACATTCGTGATTTATGATGTTATGTGGGAACTGTAAAATACCTAATTTTAAACCAAGATTTCAAAAATTACTTCACCAGATTAAGAGTGATGACAACGTATCCAAACAGAAGTAAAACAGAACAAAGGCAGCCCGGTGAGGGAATACTTGCAGCATTTTTTTTGTCTACAGTCTAGAACTATATGTACAGATTGAATAAACTCCATTCTCAAGGCCAAATTTTTAAGATCCTGATTTAGAATAATTTTGAAGTGAAAGTTTATCTTTGGCATGTACCTTGCTGATTTACTGCCTAACAGAAAAAATTTACCAGGTAGCTTATCTCTTCATAGACATTTTCCTTTTAAGTCATTTACACTTGACTGAGTTATTCATTATTCACTCTGCATGGAACCCAAAATATTTTCTCACCTTCTATAAATATTCCCCCACTGCATTTTCTGGAATGAATAGTTTCCCAGAAGAGGCAGATTTTTTTTTTTTTCCCAGAAGCGAATACAAATTTATCCAACATTACGTGTGTCACAGATTGAAGACACATCATTCTGTACTAACAACTGCAAAAATTGTGCCTATTAACAGGTCTATCAGCAATGCCCTTTATACCCTTTTCACAGCTTTGTTTTATAGGTCACTGCTTAAGTTACTACTCTCTGCTACGAAACCTTGGCGGTCAGATTTGAGAAGGAGAGGTGGCCTTTTCAAGGCACTTGGTCAGCTCAACTTGAATGTCAGCATTAGCGTACCCTTTCAGCACGTTCAGCACAAGGCTCTTGCAGACCGGTGTGCATTTACACGGGACAGAATTCACCTGCCAAGAGCTATGAGGAAGGCACACAATATGACTCTTCAGTGCACAGCGCAGTAGTAGTGCTGTTGAACAACACTGCTCAGTGGCATATTCAGCACAGCATATGATATGATTATAAAATATACTGGAAACAAAATAAAATGAATGACTGCATACTGGAAAGGCTACATCTCTTAATTGGTCCATCATGATAATGTGCATATCATTATACCAAAACAGTTTGAAGAAAGGCTTGTTTTTCGTCCAAAGTTTTGGCTGCATGTACTGTCTCTCAGATTATTTCTTTCCAACCTGCAATAATGCAAACCATCTCTCTTTTTAGAGTAATGAAAGCAACTTCTCACAGTGAAAAGCTGTCTTAGGAAAACATGTACTAAAATATATTTATTTACTGATTTCAGCTATGGATTCAAAGATGAGATCCTGTATCACATGAACAGCTAGTCCTCAATAGATCACTTTGAATAACTGATGATCCAAGGAACTAACAACAACTTGCAAGTTATTAGTATCAACAACATATATACCATTATCAGTATTAACAAGATAGAAAAGCCTAGAACAGTACAGTTGCAGCATTATACTGATAACATATAGGTTAGCGGCAATTTCATTAATTTCAAAGGTCAGACCTATATTTCTATTTCATATAAACTGCTGTTGACAATTTTTGCCATGCAGGCAATGTGAGAAAAGAAATGCCTACAAAAGGGAGAGAAACTCTTACAGATACGATAGGAACAATAAGCTGAAAAGCAGCCCAGGAAGGTGCTGGAACAGAGGGAAAACTGATTAACGGGTGGGAGATGTGGGCAGGGATAAATAAAGGAGTCGCCGCTAAGGAGAGAGAAAAGAACAAGACAAAATCCAAAAGGTTTTTGTTTGTTTGTTATAAAAACAAACACAGCAAGTTTGACTTGGATGTGAAATGAGAGCAAGCTCATTCGGCACTGACACAATAAAACTTCTTTGCATTTATAAGAAGATGGCAACAGCACTTTATGTTCTGCAGTCTGAAAGAGCTGACCTGGAGGCCATAGAAAAAAGTTACCACAAACCGCAGGAGAGGAGAACGAGGGTGAGGATTCCAGGTAGGTACTGACATGCACAGGGTTGTAGAGCTTGCTACAGATCCCTTTCTAGACAGTATTGGTAAAGCACAGGATGAAAAGTTGTTGAAGGAGTGAAAATAAAAGGAATGTAATTGTTCTTGGCACAGAAACATCGCTCCCATCTTCAACTGGATACCAAAGACAGCAGAGATGAAAGACATTACAAGAAAAAGAGAGTAAAGGGATGGATTCAGTAAAAGTGTCACAGGACAAGAAAAGATAAGAATTGCTGATGTGCAGCGTAACAGTGGGTAAAGACCACCACGGGACGAAACAGGGAGGAGATGACGTGAACTTTGAAGTTGCCAATCAAGTAACATCCACCATAAGAGACAGAGCTGTTCTGGTAAGAATAAATAGTTGACAGGAAGAAATGGGAGACCTGTGTATCTAGCTATACAGATAAGGAATAAGCCAAATTAATTCCTGGTCATCGTAATCAGTAAACCAAAGTAAATGAAATAATGAGTTTGGCCTAATTAATTTCCTGCAGTAATTTCTGAGACTCCTTTCTTAAAATGTATAATCCTATCTGCATAACACACATTTCCCAAGATTAAATGCCATTGACCATGTCGCAAAACATTCACGTCTTATTGTAATGTGCACTTGCTAAAAAAAAATAGTATGTGTCTATGACTGGAACAACTGTACCATATTTCCAGATGCATCGGAAAACTGACTGAAAAATGATTGTTCCAAATTTTTTTTCTGTATGGTTAATTTAGGTACTGAATCTATTGAAGCTTGATTTAGTTTATTAATACAATCTATGCGGTAAAATATGGGGGGGAGGGGGGAATTTATCTTTCTAAACTGCTAAGGCAGAAGAAAAGATCTTAAAATCCAGTTTGGGTTTTCAATGTGATCATGGCAGATGAAATGCTTTAACAAATGAGATATACAGTATTGCTGGATGCAAATCTCTTTGCTGATAACTCTCCAGTCTCAAGAGCCCCATTTTCACAACATGAAGTCACGGATTGGCAATTGACAACCTTGGTACCATTGGCTCAAAAAGCTGATTTTTTTGGACTAAAGCGAAACTTGAAAAAGGTTTATTAATGCCCGAGACACGTTCTGGCTACATCACTACTGTAGTTCCCAACTATATAGTCCCTTATAGCAGTAACATTTATGGACATGCTTTCATGCACCAAATATTTATTATTTAGTTATAAGCCTACTCTAAAACCATAACTGATTTACTATAAACTTCTCAGTTTCTTTTAAAATCATACGCTAAAGCAAGAAACATTTTTTTTATGAGTTGGCTGAAAAAAGAACTGAGATTTTTCCTGCCACTTCACCAAAAACAGAGTCCAGACAAGACTGAGTTACTGTTCAGCCAAAGCTAAGGGCAAGTTTCTACTGGCTTAGTTATAACTGCTGTATGCCAAAAGGTATTTTCAACAAGGGCCAAATTTTCTGCTGGGAACTGCACAGGCATATGCATATAATAAAAAGTGAGTGCAGCAGGTTAAACTGCACTTTTCCAGCCTCCTCCACGAAATACAACCATGCTCCAACGACTGCAGCTATTTCCAGTGATCACAGGTGTGGCAAGCCTAAACTCCCAGCAACAAGAGGGATCAAGGCAAGACAAATATCATACATGTTATAATCATATCCTGCCTCCCTTTTATGAAAATAACTTTATCATGATCAGGGTATTTATCTCAGAGATGGAATAACAATAACGCACACTGGCGTTTGAGAGGGAATGTTAAACAGGTTTTCAAACAGACAGCACTTTGTTCAAGTACAGCCAAGAATTCGGATTTATATCAACTTCACTGTTGGTACACATTTGTGCTGTTTTTGGAGGGCGTACCATTTGCTTTCTTAAAAGAGAAAGCCAAAATATAACTAGCAGCTTATATTCCCTGATCACGATCCTCAGACTGTTGAACACTAGTTAAGGCAAGAAGACACAAAATTATCTAGCCTCTACAGAGCTTTTTTCCTTAAATTCTGTATCCAATCTTGGCCTAGGGCAGCAATCAGCCAGGCTGTCCCTCTCCACAGATAATGTGGCCTTCAATAACTTGCGTGTAGCATCGCTTCTGAGGAAAGCTGCAGCTTTTATGCAGTATACTGCAGTTATCCTCACCTTTTTGTCTTTCTTCAGGAGCTAAACGTGACTCCTGCAGAGGGGACGGGCAGTAACTGTCCCAGCTAACACACAGCTTCTCAATTCACTTTGGCTGAATGTGCAGATACAATGAAAAGCATTGTAAAAATGTTACAGAGGGGGAATTTTTTCCATGATTATTGTGTCTGACTTGCTCAGATTACAAGGAAAAAATGAGTGCCTGTGCTTTAACTGCCAATCCTAAAACCTAATCCTGGAATTAGGGGTTTTTCCCCCCTTTTTCCAAACAAGCAATAATTCTCCCTGCTCTTTGTGCACAATGCCATACTTGAAAAACACGCTTTGTCCCCACCAGTTTTTCCAAGAGGGTTACAAGGTACGCCTCAGAATCAGCTTTAAGAGGTCCTCACCCTTGCCCAGAAAAGGAGATTTCAACTTGAAAACTGTACATCTATTATGCTTTATAATAAATTCCTAAGATTACTTGAGCAAAAATACCAGACAACTTTTCTTCCCTGTCCCTTTTTTCTATTACATACTGGATTTGTTAATTGGTTTCACTTCTCTATTAGTGGTTGTCCACTTTAGCTTCACTATTCAGACAGGAGCTAAGCTGCACACTGATTTGAAAATATCCTTTACCAGCAAGAGAAGCAGCAGTAAACTAAAACTTGGCATGTAAGAGACGTGTTTGCTAAGAAAAACATGATATGTAAAAGAAAGGTGCAAAACATGACTGGCACTGTTAAGTCCTGAGCCCTGGAAAAACGCTTCTGTAAACCTGGCAAGTGAGTAAAAACACCTTTCCATTAAAACAAACAAGCAAACAAAAAAAAACCCCAAACCAAAAAACACCCTAGACCTTCTTTTTCTACTAGTCATTAAAAAAAAAAAAAAGCGTTACAGTGTTCCTAAAGAGAAAAAATGGAGTATACTGGAAGAGATAAACCATAATGTGGT